AACAGCACTTAAGACAGTGCCTGGCATACAGTCAGAGCCTGGCCACTTGTTAGTTCTTTATTATTATCATTCATTGCAATGCTGGGTACACAGAACTGGTTAAAAAAAAAATAAATAAATAAGTCACTGACCTAAAAGCACTTTCAATCTCTTTAGTAAGACATGTATGATTTTCTAAGTAAGACACATAAAATAGTAGCAAACAATGTGAAACAGAAGGTGACTAAGAATTGAAATTGTGTTACTACTACCATTATAACAGACATTTGAGGAGAAGAACAATGCTGGTTAAGGAGGCATTCAGGGCATGAGAAACAAGCAGTATGTGGAAGTAAGGTGTTCACACACTGCTTTTAAAACTACTTGGTACAGGCCAGCAAGAATTTTTATACCTTTGCCCTTAATAAATCCCTGATAAAGACAGTATGTTCAATTTATTTTTAAGGCAATAATATTAATGGCTAATATTTGAGAGGTTAGTGTCAATACTATCCTTAACATTTTACATTTGTTATATTATTTTACTTCGCGGAACACCCCTTTGAGGAAATACTATTACTATCCCATTTTACAAATGAAAAATCAAGGCCAGTATGATTAAATAACTTGCCCATAGTCCAGATCAAGTAAACACAGCATTCAAACACACACTGTTCTACAGCATTGGCTTTTAACAAGTAAGCTTACTTCCCACAATCCCTAAATATGTAAAGAAAACAACAACAACCGAACCTCACTTCACACTTTGCCACTCCCACTCCCCAAAGTTAACTAACAATCTGGTGGAAGACTAAATAATTGTACTAATCTATCCATTCTATTATATACTTTCAAGTAAATGAAATTACCACATAAAACCATTTCTGATCAATTCTTCCTCTGAAGAATGTTTCTAGGCTGATTTTTTAAAAAAAGATAAATCCATCAGTGAATACATCTTATTTTGTTGAAACTATACAGTTTTAAATAAGGAAAAAAAGTTGAAAATTATCAATCAAAGCTTTAGTGCTCTTATTTGTGATTTACCAACTTACTCATGGTGGTGGGTGTGGTGGTGTGATAATAGAAAAGTTTATAGAATCCTTAAGCCAAATCACAGATACAGAGTTTAAAAATAAACAAAAAACAAAAACAGGAAAAGAAATCAAGCCAGGCATAGTGGCTCATGCCTGCAATCCCAGCTACTTAGGAGACTCAAGGAGGGGGATTATTTGAGGTCAGGCATTCAAGACCAGCCTGTGCAACGCTGTAAAACCCTTTCTCTAAAGTAAAAAAAAAAAAAGGGCAAGAGGGAGAAAGAAAGAAATCATGTTGTATGTTTCAGATGAACAATTTCAGCCTATAAATGTCAATTAAGTATTCATAATATGCTAAATTTAGAGTTTAAGTGACTATAACAAATTCATAAACAATTATTTTTGTGGAATGTATTGCTGGATTCCACTCTAGAATTACATGTTGTGCTGCATATATTCATTCTTTTTCTATGTTTAAAATGCCAATTGCTTCTCAATAATAGAAACTTTTTATTTTATTATACTTCAAAATTCCTTAGGCCCGGAGCAGTGGCTCACACTTATAATCCCAGCACTTTGGGAGGCTAAGGTGGGTGGATCACCTAAGGTCACGAGTTTGAGACCACTCTGGCCAACATGGCAAAACCCTGTTTCTGCTAAAAATACAAAAATGATCCAGGCATGGTGGTGCTGCACCTGTAATCCCAGCTACTCAGGAGGCTGAGGCAGGAGAATCACTTGAACCTGGGAGGCGGAAGTTGCAGTGAGCTGAGATCACGCCACTGCACTGGAGCCTGGGTGACAGTAAGACTCCATTTCAACCACCACCACCAATTCCTTACATTGATATCATTATTAAAGTCTTTTGGAATTAGAAGTGGTATTAAGGTGTCATATAAGTTGCCTATTTCTGTTTTCAGACCCAGCTACTCTACAAATACATTCCTAGGTTAATTTGTAAATCTAACCACATCACTCTGTTGATTAAAATCCTTCACTGGTTTCCTATTGCCCAGAGAGAGGCAAAGCACCTAGACTGACAGATCATATAAGGCCCTCCAAGCAAGGTCTCTAAGCTACCTCTTCAACTCTAAGTCACTTTTGTACCCTAGTAATATAAAATCACTGGAAATTTCTGTGCACACTATGATTTCACTCCTCTGGGCCTTTACTAACAGTATCTCCTATCCGTAATATACCCTTTTACTTTTTAATTTTTTTGCTTGACTCTTAACCATCTTTTGAGCTCAGAATGTCATTTCCAAGAAGTAGTCATTTAAGCTCTAAGTTAGTCTGAGTAACTTTCCTCTATGTTCTAAGATATTCTATGCGTGCCTCTTAGAATTAATCATAAAACAATCTGTTTATGTGAGTTTTCTTAAGAGCAGGAAGTAATGTTATTCCCATATATGCTCTTGGAACCAAACTCAAAGGCTCAGAGTAGGGGCTTCAATGAATCTTTTACTAAACTGCATAAACTTAAGAGTTATTTCATATAAATGAAATGCTTCACAGAGCTGCTGTGGGTCTTTGCATGCAGGTAGTAACAGAATATAAAAGCAGTTACCATCTCCTCAGGTAAATATCCTTGGTAAAATGTGACTAACAACTGCTTACTTAGATGCCACTGAGATTCTCTTTAGTTCTGGGCTTAACTTTCATGAAGGTTTAAAGTTCCAACAGGCTGGCATGAAGTCAAATAAACTTTCAGAGTGAGTGTTAACCCAAATGAAGACCAAGATATATAAAAAAAGAAACTCATATGAATGTATCCATTTAAAACCTTATTAATAATGTAGATCTGAAATTCAGAATGTAGAATCTCTCAAAATACAATCGTCATAGTTGTAGTTAATTGAATCAGCATGAAAATCAATCTGTTTTCCAAAGCTGTTCTAGTAAACATAATCAATCATACTATAAAACAAAGTGTACTTGATAGATCTACATTAGAATTTTTACAGCTAAAAAAAAAGTAGTAGAATATGATTTTCACAACGGAGCGGAAGAGGGTGGTCTTCTTTAACACAGGATAAACAAAGGATCCAGATGTTTCTTTATGTGAACTGCTGCAAGGAATATTTCTCAAGGTTTATGATAAATCAACACTCAATGTGTTTCCATAGTAACAGGAATGGAGTGCACGCAGACAGTCTACAGTAATGAACCAGCTATGCTGGTTCTTAAAAACCTGGCATTTTCACTGTTTGGCAATTTCTGCAGCAAGAACATTATTTAAAAAAAAAAAAAAAAAAACTTTTGGCCAGGCAAAGTGGCTTATGCTTGTAATTCTAGCACTTTGGGAGGCCGAGGTGGGCGGATCACGAGGTCAGGAGTTCGAGGCCTGCCTGGCCAATACGGTGAAACCCCATCTCTACTAAAAATACAAAAATTAGCTGGGTATGGTGGTGGGCACCTGCAGTTCCAACTACTCGGGAGGCTGAGGCAGAAGAATCACTTGCACCCGGGAGATGGAAGCTGCAATGAGTTGAGATTGTGCCACTGCACTCCAGCCTGGGCGACAGCAAGACTCTGTCTTGGAAAAAAAAAAAAAAAAAAAAATTAAAGACACACATAATGTTGGCAGGGCGTGGTGGCTCTTGCCTGTAATCCCTGTACTTTGGGAGGCTGAAGTGGGCGGATCATGAGATCAAACATTTGAGACCAGCCTGGCCAACATGGTGAAAACCCATTTCTACTAAATATACAAAAAAATTAGCTGGGCGTGCCTATAATCTGAGCTACTCAGGAGGCTGAGGCAGGAGAATCGCTTGAACCCAGCAGGCAGAGGTTGCAGTGAGCCGAGATCACGCCACTGTACTCCAGCCTGGGCGACAGAGCAAGACTCCTTCTCAAAAAAAAAAAAAAAAGATACATAATGTTGAAAAACTAGAGGGTCATTTCGTTTTAAAATCAAAAGACTGAAATGCAGTACATAAAGGCACGCTTAAGCATAGATTCTGTGAAGTATGAAGCAAGAACTATCAAATATATTCATATACTAATTTCAAACTGAATGATCACTTAATGTTTCAGTGATCCTGTATTTGGATCCTGTCTTTGAAATCAATTTAATATGTACATATAGGCAAAGCCTCCCTAAAAATATCTTCTGAATATGACTCACATTTAATAATAGAATATGAAGATCTCTGGGTGACAAAATCAAGATTCTCATTTTACAATTTTTTCCCCAAGCTGACACCAAGAAGAAAATGGGGGGAAAGAAACAGTTCATTTTTTTCAATGCAAGACTAAAAAAAAAAAAGAAACTTCATTTAAAAAAAAATATGCTCCATTATTTTCAGTACGTGGGTTTGCTAGAGTGAAACCACAAACTCTACAAAGAAAAAATGCTTACGTATAGAAAGATGCTAAAATCCTCTAATGTCAGGCCGGGCGCGGTGGCTCAAGCCTGTAATCCCAGCACTTTGGGAGGCCGAGGCGGGTGGATCACGAGGTCAAGAGATCGAGACCATCCTGGTCAACATGGTGAAACCCCGTCTCTACTAAAACTACAAAAAATTAGCTGGGCATGGTGGCGCGTGCCTGTAGTCCCAGCTACTCAGGAGGCTGAGGCAGGAGAATTGCCTGAACCCAGGAGGCGGAGGTTGCGGTGAGCCGAGATCGCGCCATTGCACTCCAGCCTGGGTAACAAGAGCGAAACTCTGTCTCAAAAAAAAAAAAAAAAAAAAATCCTCTAATGTCAGTTTTTAAAAAAGACTCCATTATTTCTGGTTCTGTGTTCTACTAATATTTTAATCTAATTATTTGATCAGAGTGATCCTTTGACTGTAAGATATGAATTCTGGTATTGCCCATTTTGGCTTTCATAATTTAAAAATTTTTGGTAATATAGTAACAAATATGTATTGTTTAAAAATAATGGAGGTATATTTTTAATGCTATTTCTTGTAAAACTAAAAGCCCCTCATCCCTATTTGAAGTAAAACATACATATTTTTAAAGAACCCAAACACATACCTTTAAAAATCAGCAAAATCAAACTGCTATGAAGTATGAACAGAAGCAAAAGTCAATTTCTACCCTCTGGACAGGACACAAATTACACTAAAAATCAATATTCTTCCTTTGCAAGCCATGAGTCCTTTCTAATCACATTTTAACTTCACCCTCACCCCACACGTACAAAAGAAAAAGCAGAGATGGGGGTGGGGACTTACAGAGGAAACAAAAAGTAAAAACCAACCACCTGGTTCTAGGAACTTGACCACACCCCTATGGTACCAAAAAGGAAATGAACAACAATGTTTATCTTTTATTCACCAAAAGCAGCTAGAATCGATAGGATCTAATCTAGCCCTCATTACAGACAAAAGCAATAACCAAATTTGGTACAGTGACAATACAACTCAATGTTAACTTTCAAACAAAATGGATCCTGGTTGAAAACGTGTTGTCAAGGAAATAAAAATGAAAAAACAAATCCAAGTGATTGTTCCATTTGTCTTTAGATTATTTTAGCCTTTTAGGGAACAAACACCATCTATAAAATAGAGCTCACTATTTTATCCACAAACAAAATACAGTGTTTTTAATGGCATCCAAGTGTTATACAGTTGGCAATTATAGTTATCCAAAAAGTCTGAACCACGATAGTACAGATGCAAATTATTTCTGACTAAACTGTGGGTATTTCCTCTCAAACAATTTTTTATTTTTTTTAGACAGCCTCTGTCACTGAGGCTAGAGTGCAGTGGCGCAATCACAGCTCATGGCAAGCCTCGACTTCCTGAGCTCAGGTGATTCCCCCACATCAGCCTCCCAAGTAGCTGGAACTATAGGCATATACCACCATGCTTGGCTAATTTTTAAAATTTTTTTGTAAAGACAGGGTTTTGCTATGTTGCCCAGGCTGGTCTTGAACTCCTGGACTCAAGCAATCGTCCTACTCTGGCTGGGATTACAGCCATGAGCCACTGCGCCAGCCCAATTTCTTTAATTCCCATGGTAATGCATATACTTGGACTTCTCAGACTCCAAGGCCATTATATGTTAATTTTACAGGCACTTAACACATTTTTAGTTCTCCTATGGCTTTTTTAATGAAAACTTGAGGATATCAAAATTATGAGGTTTGAAAAGACTGCTGGTCAAACTCTGAATCATTTAAAGAAGTTTACTACCATTCTGGTTGAGGCTGACTCTCAAAGTTTAAGGCTATGATTTAGGAGAAAACATTTTCCTGTACTACTTTTTTTTTTTTCTGCACTACTTTTCAACGGTTATACTAATAAAACATCAAAAATTATTCAAATGACACAATGGACTTATAGCATTTTAGTATGTGAAACCAATGTTCTATATTAGCAAATCTTATCTGTATATCTTGACTTAAAGGTACTTTCCGTTGTAGCCTTTTAGAATGAACTCTAAGCTGCTGACTAATTTCTGGGTTAAACTGGAAAATGTGCTTACTTTAAAAATAAACAATTCGGGAAAAATACATTCCCTTTATATTTTCATGTAATTTTACTCACTTTTCTCCAAGACATGAAACAAATCATGTCATTTTTGTATAATTACTAACAACATGTATCCAAAACAAAGTAGTCTAGCTCCATCTATATATAATAAACTGAAGATGTATCAACAGAAGTTACCCTTCTAGAACAGGATTTGCTATATGACATTTAGTCATAAAATTACTAAGCAAAAGCATAAAGATCACTCTTTTTAATAAATGGAGTTTTTTTTTTTTTTTTAGTCAGAGTCTCACTCTGTCACACAGACTGGAGTGCAACGGCATGATTTCAGCTCACTGCAACCTCCGCCTCCCAAGTTTAAGCAATTCTTCTGTCTCAGCCTCCTGAGTAGCTGGGATTACAGGCACATGCCACCACGCCCAGCTAATTTTTCAATTTTTAGTAGAAATGCAGTTTCACCATGTTGGCCAGGCTGGTATCGAACTCCTGACATCAAGTGATCCACCTGCCTTGGCCTCCCAAAGTGCTGGGCTTACAGGCACTGCTCCTGGCCAGAAATAAATTATGTTTGATAATTGAACAATAAAAACAAAACAGAAATAAATATTTGTGATTTTCTCTTTTTCCTCTTCACTAAGATATGGTATTTTTGTCTTTTTTTTTTTTGGGTCTCACTATGTTGCCCCGGCCCAAGTGCAGTGGCTATTCACACATGGAATCATAGTGTCCTGTGGACTTGAACTCCTGGGCTCAAGTGATCTTCCTTCGAGCAGCTGGGACTAATGGTGCACACTAATGCCCCTGAATTGTCCTATTTTATTTCTTTTATTATTATTATTATTTTTTTTTTAAGACAGGGTCTCACCATGTTGGTCAGGCTGGTCTTGAACTCCTGACCTCAGGTGATCTTCCCGCCCTGGCCTCCAAAGTGCTTGGATTACAGGCGTGGGCCACCGCGCCCGGCCTTGTCCTATTTTCTTGTACACACAGTAATATTCCTATATAATGCCCTGTTAATCAATCAAATTTACTCAATTTAAATAAGAATTTAAAAGTCACATATAATTCAATTTACATGAAATGTCCAGAAGAGGCAAATCCACATAGACAGAAAGATGATTGGTGATTCCCAGAATTTGGGAGGAGGGAAGGAATGGAGGGTGACTGCTAATGGATATACAGGGTCTCTTTTTGGGATGATGAAATGTTCTGGAATTAGACAGTGGTGATGATTGTACAACCTTGGGAATATACTAGAGATCACTAAATTGTATACTTTAAAAGTATGAATTTTATGCAATGTAAATTATATCTCAACAAACAAATGCTCTTTAAGAAAATCAACAAAGTATTTATGTATATTTCTCAATAATAAAGTTTCTAATACCTAAAAAATTACTGATTTATATAGATATTAAATCTGCTTAAAATGAAAAGCTTTATTATTATTAAGCTACAGTAATTAGAAGGTAGGGTACTAGCAAAAGATGGACAATGAAACAGAATAAGATCCTAAACACAGAACCATTCTATGGGAATGTGACATATGACAGAAGCAGCACTGCAGAGTAGTAAGGAAACGATAAAACATTCAAAGACTGGTCCTGGGACAACTGCTTATCCACAGAGAAAAAAAAAATTAGATCCTCACCACATAATATACCAAACCAACTCCAGGTGGATTAAAGACCTCATATACACAGTACATCTTTAAAACTTTTAAGAAAAACCAGGCCTGGCATGATGGCTTACGCCTGTAGTTCCAGCACTTTAGGAGGCCAAGGCGGGCTGATCACAAGGTCAAGAGATTGAGACCATCCTGGCCAACATAGTGAAAAAGATGGCTGTAATGCATAAATTAAAGCTCAGTTCTACCTTTCAACTTTCTTCCAGATCTGCCCGATTCTTGCTATATTCATTGGCTGTGTCTTACCATTTCTCTACTGCATTTGAACAACTTCTTATTAGCTATTCTTCTTGCTTCCAATCTTGTCTACCTCCATTCCACCCTCTATAACATTGACAGTGCTTAAGAACAAAACTCCAAACCATTTAAATTTAGTAACATCCCATGGCTCTTCATGCCTCAGCATAAAATCCAAAAACCTTTCATAATGTGGCTCCTGCTTCTCTGCCTGGCTACCTCTTCTGATGCTTTGGCCTGCCCATCTTGCCCTCCACCTTCCTAGCTTTTCCTCTCTCATCTCTCACTCATCCTTAAAGATTCTATTCAGAAGTGTGAAAATATTCCAAGGAGCTTTTCCAGAACATCCCACATACCACACACCCTCTGAAGCCAGGTTGCATATTCACTTCTGCTGGCATGGCATCCTGCTATAGTCAGAGCACTAAACACATTCTACAGGGCCATCCTGACATACAGAAAGGGTGTGTGCATAAGTGAATGTGATCTCAAAACATAGGCGTAAGAAATAATAGTAAAATACTTTATTACAGAAATTCTGGACACCAGCTGCTGTTTGTTAACTGCCCTCTGTATGTTGAGACAAGGCTGTGCCGAGGTTCAGGTCAAAAGCTCCTTCCTTCCCACTCTGCTGCTGCTACAATAGGAAGGTGACCAAAAGTTACAGCCAGTTGTCCCCACCCCAACCTACACAGGCTTCTCTAATGAAACAAATATTTATTGAGCACCTATTGACCAGACACTGAGCTAAGCACTAAAGTTATATGGATGAAAATTCAGACAAGGTCCTTGCAGCCATACAGCTTACATCACCATATGGAAGAGATGGAGACAGAAAGGAAAGTGCTGGAGATGAGGCTTGGAAATTGCCTTTTGTCAGATGCATTTATTGATTTCATACTGAGTACCTGCATGATGTCAAGTCTTGGGTGTCAGAGAACAAAACCTTGTTTTCTGATCCCTAATGACAGAAAGGGACAAGTGCCCTGATGACAAAGGGAAATATCCAGAGTTGAGAAGCTGGGGGTGTGGGAATAGGGAGAGAGGGGGCAGGGGACCTCAGACATTTCTGGCTTAAGAAACAAGTTCTAACCTGTAGTGGAGGAGAGACAAGCTCCTTTCCAAAGACCTACAATAAACCAGTACCTAAAAGACTTTCCACTGAGAACCTTTTTGGCTTCTTAATATCACAGGTTTTAAATGATCTAGATTTTTAGAAGGGCTTTTCTTGATATGTTGCAAAACCAAATTATAAGTATTTAATGAAAGCACACTATAAAATTCCAGGAAATAAAAACAACTTAAATGCCAGAGAATATGGACAGACTGAAAGTCTGAGGACATGAAACTAGTTCATCCTTGAATCCCCAGAGCTGACTATAGTGCCTGACACATTATCAATAAACAAATCAATCCTAACAGAAGAAAGTATCACAGTAAGGGAGTGGGGGGGGGGGCACAAGATCAGATTAACCATTTAGATAGCTTAATATGTGCTAATACCATTAAGTAACTAGTATTACTGAAATATCACAGGATGTTTTTTAATAGCATGCATTTTGAATTGAGTGTAGATTTGCTTTTTACTTCCTAAGGCCTCATAAATGTATCGACACTCAGAGGAAAACACAAAAAAATTTTGCCCCAATTATTTTTAAACTTTTTAAAAAGTTTAGCATATAATTTTTTTTTAAATTTTAGCAAGTAATCTTTTTGGCAGAAAATTAAAATTAGAGGATATTTTATTAAGTGTTCAAAATACAGAGTGTAACACATCATCCAAAAGAGTCACAACCTGACAATGATTTTTTTCCAAGAAACTTTAAACATTTACATAACCACATTTAATATGATGTGCTCTTCTATGAATCTAATAATAATTCTACAAGCATATATAAACGATTGACAACATATTATGATTCATATTTTCCTAAACAGTGGGTATGTTATGACATGAAGCTTTGTCTTTTGTATCAGTATATAAAACCTACATTCATGATGAATAGGATAACAGAAACTGTCATAACATCATCACTGTAGAACATAACTCATGATGAGAATCTGAAACTCTAATAAAATGATTTCCTTTTTTGTATCATTTATAGACTAATACAAAATCTGTGCTCAACATAAAATCAATTTATTTTAGAATATCATGAGATATTTAGGTGTCTCTGAGCAACTTCAGTAATCAGAGAATTGCCAAATGCGTGCTGATAACTGAAGTTCAGATTTATTTTTAGTTTCCAAAGCATAGTATAGTAGTGGCTTCAGTCACGGAAAGAAAAACAAAACAAAACAAAATTACTTCCATGTTAATGAAGGTACTGGGTACTTCTACATCTTGCTCACTGCT